GTGAGTGAGTGAGTGAGTGAGTGAGTGAGTGAGTGAGTGAGTGAGTGAGTGAGTGTGTGTGTGTGTGTGTGTGTGTGTGTGAGAGAGAGAGAGAGAGAGAGTGTGTCGCGTGCTTTCGTGTGTCTACACGAATGCATGGTGTCTAAAAAAAACCCGGCCCCTTTCAAGGGCAACAACTCGGTCCTATTTGTACCAATTTCAACAAAACTCTGTGAACGGATAAAATTCAAACAAAGGGACGACAATTAATGTGTCGACATAAAGAAATCGACCCCTGTGTTCGAAAAATATCACATTCTAAAACGTTCAGCCAAAATTGGGTAACACGCAAAACTTTACTTCTTAAAAGCATTCAGCGGTATATAGGGATGGTTCAATCGACTCGTTCTGGTTTCAGGACGAGGACGCCGAAAATGGTATAAGTTTAACGCCCCTATGAACACTGTTTGGTTATTTCAGAGGCAGGACCTCCGAGTTTAACGTTCATCTCCGAAAGGTCCAGGCCAAGCGGGGAATTCGTGTAAAGTGCATCTCCCAAGAACACAACGTCAAACGGAGCTGAGGCTCGAACCCCCCAAACCCGCAATCACACGATTACGAGTTCAGAAGCTTAACCACTAGACCACCATCGCCACCGACGAGGACAGTAAAACAACGACCATCAGTCACATCAGGTGGATAATCTCATAGTGCTAAGAAGTTTACGAGATGTTCCGGGAGGGGAAGGTGCTATGCTGATGAGAAGGCCCGGTTCTCGTAGGCTGGAGCTACGGCATATAAATATATACGTCAAAAGAGGTTCTGGCATTTTTAGTAGCAAGAAAGGTTTGGGAAATGAATTATATTAAGCTAAAAGTTTACATATTATAAATGGTCACCGCATTCCCTTGACTTGAACCGCCTCAATTATTTATTATTTCCTCTGGGTTTTGTTTGACAGACATAGTCTTTGCAAACACCCACAAACAATCGAATTGTTAACAACCCCCCCCCTCCCCACA